CGGGTTCGCCCACAACGCGTTTTAAATGCCGAAGATCTTGTGGAAGAAAATCCGGGAATAAGCACAAGCCCAACAGGTTCCAGAAGTGTCACATGCAGCTGCGTGGCGCATATTACATATTATTTGAGAAATCAACTTCTTTCGTAACAGTGTATATGTGGTAAAAATTTGTCTGGCAAGTTGTGAAACACCCTGTATAGTCTGACTATTTAATTTTATTTTAAAATTTATTTTGGCATCGCTTCTAAACAGTTTTAGTGAAAAATAATGATTCTAAAGGGTTCAACTGAAGGTTATGATTCCTTGCATACATACTAATAGATTTTGTATCTTCATTTACCTCAGATTCAGCATTTTGAATGTTATGATCATATAACTGGATACTACAATACTTAATAGCTGCGGAAATGAGAAAAATACAAAATAATTAGGAGTGGTCGAAGGACAGATCCTTAAGCCACTCCCGAGGAAATGAGGCACCTTGGAGATAGGACCATGTCGATTTCCTAAGAACCTCTGACTCATTTTTGAGGAAGAATTAGAAAAACCAAAATATTTACACTTGGGTACTAGAAGACGATGATTTACGGTATCGAATGCCTTACAGAAGTCAAGAAGAAACAATGATTGATCCCAGGCTCTAACAATGTTATCGGTTAAATCTAGCACCTGTAGTGTTATATGTTGTTATATGTTGAATTTGAATACAATACCATCACAAGATAACATTTAAGCAATTAGACTCATATCAAATTCCCTTTTTGATAAATAAATTCAAAATAAACATATTTCTGTCTCTGTAGCTACATTTAAGAGAAACCTTGAAAGTTTTTTAATGTCTTAGGGTGTTACAGAATTTATTCAGGAAATTGAAGAGCAGATTATGAACATGAAAATGCAAAAAAGATGTTCAAATAAGCATGGGTCCGTAAATTGTTTTCATAATACAGACTTTCTAAAGTCGTCTGTTTAGCGAAAAACTCCACGCCATTGGTTGTTGCGAAAGTTGGTGTCGTTTTTTTAAAGCTTTATTGATTCTTCCTGAGATGTGTTTGTATGAGTTTTGGTTATATTCGTTAAAAAGTGGCGTCAAGTAAGTTGACTCTTTACTTCCCACGCTGCGCTGAAACCAGTTCGTAAAGTTAGCCCTTCCGAGGAAAAAGTTAGCCACGAACTAGCATAAAAAACATTAAATGACCTTCCTCCTTCCCCTGAGTGAAATTGCTGTAGGTAGACATGATCGTTGCGATGACCAATCCTGCGAGAATGACGATATTGGCTTTCATCATGCACAGTTCACGCAGCCCACAGTAGTGTGAAAGCGATTGCCGACTGTGACGTATGAGCATCGACGACGACGCGTCCATGGGGAGATGACGTCGCACGTATCGAAACCTAACTGTGATGTTGAGTGAACAACTATACCAACGTCAAAAAATTGAGACATATCTTTCCTCACACCTAGCTGCTCCTAACCATCAATTTATAACCCCTAAAAAAATTTTGCCGAAAATGATCAGGATGAAACAAACGTCCAAAAATGAAGCTTAGGCGATTTCTATTTTCTTTTTTTTTGTTTTCGGCCTTTTTTCCGCCGTCACTGGACCGATTTTCAAAAACTTTATCATCCTTGGCATAGTAGTAACATTGTAAGAAAATTTTACCGAAATCTTCTCAAGTTATAAGAGACCGGCAGACCGACTAACGTCCAAACAACATATTTCATTATAGAAAATTTTCGCGATAACAATACTTACGCTACTATTTTTTATCAACAATAATCGGTTCAATATACTGAATAATAAAATGGTTATCATTTAGGCAACGGACTTTTGAACACAAAAACTCCCTCAGATAATCTTTGAGTTAGCTGATTTTGGCTGATACTAATTTATAGCAAGAACCAGTGGCGAGCTATTTTTTCGCTAAACAATAAAATTGCCGGCATGAACGTGGTTGTTGTAGGTGCTTCAAAAAATTGTTCTGTTAATCTTAATATGATAGTTGATGATAAGCGTGTACCAAATTTCATTTTAATATCACAAGCTGTTTTCTATAAAGGTAAAATCAACTATAAAAAAATGAACACGTTTAAACACCCCTTATTAGGGTCAGTTGCCTTTTGATACTAAAGTAAATCGTGTAATCTCAGGCGTAGGGCCACAAAAGCAAATTAACTAGGTGACAACTTATAGGTATTACAACTAACTTCTGTTTTTAAAAGTTAAAGCTAAATCGCCCGTAAACAGTGTGATTGATAAGATTATGAAAGTTATTCGTAAAGTCTCACCTAGCCAACCACAATTTAATACCCTACGTAATCGCTCGAGCTATTTCGGTGTCAAAAAGGAATTGTCAGTTTGATATTGAAATTTTTCGTAACCTCAAAATGCAGTGAAGGAAACAAGGAACTTCTGGACCATAGGTTCATATATGAGCGTTTCTTGTATTTCAACTTTCTAAATCAACACTTACTAGTTTATATTACCCCGTATATGCCTGTATTAAAGCTTCGTCGATATTTGCAGCTAATCAAATATTCCTGGTATTTCAGCTGGGAGCAAATTGAGGTGAAAAAGTCATCATTCGTCTCCCGAACCTCTTCTAATGCATAGTATAACGCTGTCCGTTGAAGAAGTTCAGTAATTTCCAATTTAAATGCAGAGGAGAATATCTTTGTATGTTATTTTTAGGATGGCATCCTATTTAGCTTTAGTTTGTCAGATTGCCTGATGTATACGTTTGGTATGGTTGCATATGAGATTATGGACTATAAATCGTTCATTTTGCAAGATTACACAGGCCCACAAAATCAAAAACTGGGCACCCCTGTGCTTTTTCACTGTGAACACGGAAACCAAAATACTAACACTTTATTCTTTTTGTCGCTTTATTTGTGCAAAACTTGGAATGCACATAAGAAATCGCAGGCCTCTGTTTAATTTCATCAATAAAAAGATCTGTGTTAAATTCTTATGTCCACACCATTCTCAAGAAAGCAATTTTTTGAAAGACACACCAGGTATACCGAATGAGCGCCAACTGAACAGGGAATCTGAACGCCTAGGATCTCAATATGCACGTGAAGGTTTACCGACGCGCGTATTGAGTCTAGTGGACACGCACGCGCTTACAATTTCTGAGCCGCGCTTCCATGTCAACAGCTAGCATTAATTGTGTGTATCATCAAAGAGACCGTCAGAAGAGCGGGCGTCATGTGGACTAAGCCTTAGAGTTCGCTTTGAACAACAAAGAAGAAACTATAAACGGTAAGACTATACTTTAGCGCATATCGCAAATACTTTATTTCTTACTTTAAAATGAATGATTAGGATGTAACTTGCACGAAAATATCATTTTTTTCTTGAAGGAACCCTCTGCTTGCTACTTTATAGAACTTCAGAGTTGCATTTTTGGTGGTAATACTCTAGAATGCAATACTGTTTTATACGCTTTTTTTGCTTTTGGCACAGAATGATGGTCTAAATTAAAAGAATATAACATATACTGTGTAGTACTAAGGAAAATAGATGTGAAACTGTGAAAAATCGTTGTTTGCAAAAAAAAGGTTCAAAATCAGCTGTGTTATTACACATTAGCTTATTAGCTAAAATAACAGTTAAAAATACATTCGTAAATGATGGTATTTACTTGGTAAACTGTGTAGGGGTGTTGTGTTGTGATTTTTCAAAGTCTTCTTGAAATTCCATAACATTTTTTTTCGCGTATTTTCAATGAGATCAACGTTTTTGCATTTATAAGAAATATTTGGAAGTACAAACAATTCAGAATGGGCATTTTATAACGTTCATTTTTTGACAGATAAGATAAATGATGTCCATTGTTGCCAAGTTGTACCTTCTTTTTGGGAGAAATACGTGATAAAAAATGAGGTTATTTGCAAAATAAAAGGCTCAATTTATTGTGAATGTTTTATGAGACCCAATATTTACCGAAAACTAGATGAAATTTTGAACAGGTCCACCCAACATATCATCGTCAAACATTATAGTTAAATAAAGATCAACGACCATTTCACCATATCATCAAAAAACTTGCAATGTCTTTGTTATGTTTTCATTATTTAGTGATTGGCAACAGCTACTTTTTCAGTTATTTCTCATATATATCACATTTAATTAGGTATATTTTGTGACATCAGCTTCACTTTAAATAATTCAAGAACATACATACAAAAAGTAAACAAATTATAGCTATAATATAGGAAAAATAATAACCGAAGTACTTTTAAGAAGGGCATAAGGCATTCTTCAAAAAAGTGTCTAGCTAACGCTATCGTAGGGCACGAAGTGGATTTAGTACAGTAAAACCTGCCGGCCATCCCTCCAAATCGCATTTTAATGACAATCCTGTGCCGATTGCACATTTTAGCGCTAGTATATAAGTAAGAATTTGACAAACCAAATTAGGGTATATAACTATCCATGATTTGGCAACATCGCAACTAGATGGAGAGAGTAGGATAGTGATGGTGGTGGATGGTGGTGTAGTGATGGGAATATTTATCTAAAATAAAAAAAATACTACTCAACAATGAACTATTTTCATCATTAAAATAATGCAAAATTCATTATTGCGATGAACAGTGTCCCAGTAATTTACATTGTATGTTATATTCATATAATTTTGAGCAATCTTTTGTGTAAACAAGGAAAAAAAAGAGCTTATAAAGCAGTATTCTACACCACAGTATTACCACACAAAATGCAGCTTTGAAGTTCTATAAAATAGCAAGCAGGGGTTCCTTAAAGAAAAAGTGATATTTTCGTGCAAGTTACATCCTAATCTATCAGTTTAAAATAGGAAATGTAATATTTGCGATATGCACTAAAGAATAGTTCAGCCCTATGAACTACCCTCAGCTGGACAATACGACCGCTTCTGTGTCGCAGTTCTACTAACTCTGAGCAGTTCACAAATGAGATTAACAAAGTTTCTTCGGTATAAAAAATGCATCCCTGATATATTCTTCCCTGTCTTGAGATTTAACTGGAAAGAAAGTTTATCGTGTGGTCAAGTACTCACATTGACGATTCCAGTCGTTGTCCTGGTGGATGCTTTCGCTTGCTGCTGTTGCTGCTCCCTTTCAACGCTGCGCTGCTGCAAGTGTCTGCTTAGAGCGAACATTTCGGCCAATCGCGAACGTGTCTTGGACGATTGCTGGCTTGTCTGAGTAGGACCGGGAGCCACTTGTTGTAGCGGGTTGCGTTTGCGAGACACCGGGAACACCAGGTGCTCGATGTCTGGTGTGTAACTGAAAAAGACGTACGTATATGTAGAAACTATCACCTTGACACCTTTAATATCCATGGAAACTCGTAGTGTAATACTGACTTTTTGTACAGCTTAGACCTCCGAAAATGCCATATCTGAAGCAGATGTTTCAAAAAGACAGAGCCAAACCATGATGGTTCAAGTGTCACGACATTTAGGCAACCCACGATTTGTAAAATAATATTGGGAACACGGGTAGCTGTAGCATCCACCATTATTTTAATTATATTGACATCATCCAGTCACCGCATTCACCATTTTTTCTAATTTGCTCAAAACGTCTATTGAAAAAATTTGAACCAAACTGCGAGTTTCACAAATTCTTCTATCGTCTATAAGATGGCATGAATATAATTTCAATATGACGTTTTGTTTCTCGTCTTCAACAATCAAGTTTTTTTTCTCGAAGTCAGATATTGGATTTATGTATACATAGGTGAGTAGAGTTTTTAGTTCTGATCCGAAAATTGTCGTACAATAACATTGCCGAACCTTAGTTATTTGAAAATATAGAATTTACTAAGTAGCACTTGAAGTTATCAGATAGCGTTTGTTTCGTAATATCAACAGCTAAGCATTGCTTTAGTTTTTATGAATTAGGCGAAAGTGAACAGTCCCTATTTCCGCTTTTGATGATGTGATGTACATATCATGACAAGGATTGGTATTACAAAGCTTCAAAGATCTAAAAAAGTATTTTAACTCATTGAATAAAGATAGAGGTTTCACAACTTCAAATGTAGAATTCTCCGTTATTACGATTGCCGATGTTAGGAAGAGAGCACTGTAATTAAAAAAATTAAAGTTGACACGGAAGGTGAGGCTCAAGGTCAAATCCAAGGCCAGCATTAAAGTTTTTGTTCAAAGTTGGTAAGCACATGACATTGGCCTTTTTCAAAAATACCCTGCCGCGAAGAATACAGCGTCATTCCATTACTTTTGTTGTTGTATATTCCTGGACAGTATTTGATTTCAGCGGCGAGATTTTCCAGAGCTGCAGATCTTTGCCTTCCCAAAAGTCTCAGCAAATGGTCACGCTACATAGATCGATCATCTGTTAGAACTGGATGCCCATTAGCCTATCATTCCTTATACATCAGAAGAATAATCAATATGAGGTTTCTCGAAAACAACAAGTACTCATCAACTATTCATTATGACCTATTTCTAAAGAGGTAATCACCCTGTTCGAAAACCTTCTGGATCTATCGATCCCCTAGCCTTCATTCCGTGGATTATCTGAAAGCACGTCATGTACGAATCGAAAGTACCGCGAGCTAGTAGCGAACACCAATTCACCTGGAATGAACGTAGTCTAGGAGCAGCCGCTCAGTTTGAATGCAGGACGTTATTAGGAGTACAGAGTACAGAGCCTGGCCGAATCTAACCTCATATACGAGGTATGTAAGTTAAGTGATGAGAGTGACAACTATCTGGCAACACTGGAGGCGCCGCGCTTCGAGGGAAGACAGATGAACATGTGATCCGGCTTCAGTACAAGTTTGAATCCGGTCGAGTCATTTGGTTGCCCATAGCGAGTCTTTTTCTGAAACAGTTCCTTCTAGTGTGTTCTAAAAATGTGGGACACCAATTTCAAGCAACGCTGTGCTATTAGGTTTTGCTTTAAACAGGGCACAGTGCATTGGAAACCCTTGCTAAGCTTCAGCTAGACTGCAGAGATAGTGTTTTGTAAGAGCCCAGGTTTTTCGGTGGTTTAAGGCAATTCCAGAAGGGAGATAGTCGATTGAAGATGAACCACGAAGCGGAAGGCCTTTATCTTCAATAACCGATGAAAATATCGACAGAGTCTGGCATCTTGTGCACAGTCACAATGATCGGGGAAGAGTTAAATTTTACTCGCATCACCGTTCATATGGGATCAAACATCAAGAACAACTGGGTCTTGCATCACAATAATGCTCCTTCTACACACAGCAATGCCAATAAACGAGTTTTTGGTCAGTAAAACGTTCCGCTGGCCCCTCTTCTCCCTTTTTCGCCTGACTTGAGTCCTTGTGACTTTTTTCTCCTCTCGAAGTTGATAAATCGCCTCAAAGGAACTTATTTTGGGAAAGTCGCAAACCTTCTCCAGCTCTGTGTGACTTCAAAAGAAAGTTATTTTGAGGATGACATTATAAAATTGTAATTACATTTGAACAAAAATATAAAAAAATCAGTCTCACCTAATTTACATACCTCGTGGTTTCAGCTACCACATTAAATTGATTCGGCCAGACAATGGAGTCCCATGAATATACAAACCCCAGGGCATATTCCAGGGTATATAAATTTCCAGGTCACGCGATCAAAATCGTGGTCATATTTAAACATGGTCGTCGCGGTGTAAGGCGGTTATACAACATACCTTCCATCCAATTTTGACTTTTTACAGCTAATTTTACTCCGTATTCATGAATAAATATATTTTATGATCACACGTTTTTTAATAATCCAGCAACCTCTAACCTTTAATTTTTAGCTCTTACAAAAATTTTTCACAAATCGGTCAGGATCGTCTGAACGTCAAAAATCAAAGTTTGAGCGTTTTTATTTTTTTCAATTGTTGGCTTTTTTCTTCACCGCCACTGTACCGATTTTCAAAAACTACAAAACCTTTGAGTCCTTGGCATAGTAGTAACGTTTTGTAGAAATTTAAACAAATCCGACCGGTACTTCTCAAATTATAGACGGTCATAAGATTAGCGGACAGACCGACAGACAGACGTAATGTAATAATAATTTACTATGTAATTGATTAGAAAAAGCTCTTCAGACAATTCTGTTATATGTCATTTATGAATATGCATCCTTGGTAAAATTAATGAATTCGGTATAAAATGTTATCAATTTTAATCGGGCACAAACCAAAAGCATTTTTTTTCCTTAAAACGAAACAATTTCAGAAGGACTACAACACGTTCTCATCTCTCTTGTAAAATGTGAAATTAGCAGATACTCGCTGGCTTATGACGGCAGTACAGATCCCTAATAATGTCCCAGATTCAAATTGAGGAGACGTTTAACGACACATGTGACCTAAGTGGCAACTCCTAGCCTAACAGTGGAACATCGTCTAAGGCGTACGCCGAAACGGCGGCATTAGCTTGTTAAGCTACGCCCGCAGTTACCACAGTTACCAGGGGCAGCATTACAACTTTGCTGTTCGAACTTAGAAGCACGCCCGCAGTACGTTCTAATTTAGAGCACAATGACCATGTACTTTTAGAGGTACAAGACGGACGAGATGCTCGATCTATTGCATGTTGAATAAGACACAGAGCTCATAGAGCTCCATTGTTTGGCTGAATCAAACCACATATATGTGTTGATTTCTGTTTATTGTACGACGTTTTGACCTCTTCCAAGTACAAAGGCGTATGAATGTGCGGCAGCCGTAACGAAACCAGAATATATGTGGTTTGAGTTGGCAAGATAATGTCCTATGAAATAACGTATACCCTAATTGGTATACAAAGGAGTTGCGCGTGAGAGTATTTGGGGGACCCTTGAGTCTCTTTTGATATTTAAGACCATTCCTAATCAATTCTAACGATATCGTACTCTAAGAAGATCTGCACGGGTATCACGTATCTTGAAAAGTGACATTATGCCGATTTTTTTTGACATTATGCTGATTTTTTGTTGACATTATTTAGGTTTTTCTACCATATGTTATCTTAGCACATAGTTGTACGTGTTGCCTAAACATCACGAGGCTTGTTATCAGTCTGGCTCTGATGTGAATCTGCTTCTGAGATGGCATTACTGGAGGTCTAAGCTGTAAGTGGTATGTGTTGATCATAATTACATTGGGCTCTTGTCTCAAATACACTTAATTGAGATTCAAAGCTAGAAATTAGTTGCGCATCCACTTTTTCTTATCCATTCTGGAAAAATTACATATACAAATCTGCTGAATTTCAAAAATGAGAGAGATAAGAAATAATTAAATTCACTGTACACTGTCGAATTACACGCCATATACATGCTTACAGTAATTACACACAACGCGGGCGCAGTGATGATTTCCCTCAGTCTTTCGTAATTTATAACTTTGAACATAACCTCTCTTCAGAAAGCACAACATAAAAATAATCCGTCGGGCACAGCCAATAGATATACTTCATTGGCAGCACATTCTGTAATGATTTTCTCACACAGCAAATATCACTGATTTTATACACATGCAGACCAATACACATAATCATCCAGATACGATCTTGCTATTCAACCAACTTTCTTTTCAGAGATAAAAACTACAGACTACGACCACTCGGCCTCATAAAATACATGCAACCAATAATGCGTGTAGTTTAGTTGAGTGATTCCTCCATAGATGACGTTCACAACGATCGTAGTGAGCAAACATGGAACGACTGTTTGTGCCCTAAAAGCTACCTAGTTTGTAAGATGACATCTTATATGTCTTTTTTGACGTTTTATAGGTTTTTTATATGATACCCGAGCTGTATTGACCAGCCAGCCTCCTTGTTGGCATCCCAATCTGATTTTTTGCTCTTCTCAACAATCTCTCTGACCTCCAATAATATATATATATATATATACGAGCCCATTCCCACTTCAGTTGGCCCACTTTGTACCAAAATATGCCTTTATAAACTAAACATGACAAAACTATTTACTTCTAAAACAATTTATTTTCTCAAAAACATTTTAGATACACTCTAGTCGTAAAAAATACATATTTATAATCACTTAGACCTATAACTAATAGAACATCTGATCAAATAAACAATGTGCGAATAAATGCGCGAAGTTAACAAAGCAACAATTGAAAGATTACCGTTGGGTAACATCACCTTTATTTTTTATTACGGCTGAAATTCTTTGTGGCATAGTGTTAACCAAGTTTTGTCAAACATCTGGTGTAAAACAATCCCATATTTCTTGAAGCTTTTGTCTCAGTTCGGTGATTGTACGAGCAGGATGTTGTCGTAGAACCTTTTTCATCTCGTGCCA